TTATTTGGACATCTAATTTAATTTTATGAGTTTTAGAAAATATTTACTGCCGTAGTATTTTTCTAGAACTGTCTGGGGTGAGCGCGGTTCACCCGGTGTATGTATATCTCTATTGCTTGTGTGGATGTATGATATGCATGGTGGATGATTGTGGCTATAGTTTATTTGATTATAATACGGCCTGCGTGTCGTGCCTTATTTCTTAAACTCTTGTTGTAAATCTATTTCTCTCTCTTACCTCAACCGAGGATTCTTTTCTCACGTGGTGGTTAGAAGACGAAAAGATTTGATGACCGTTTGGAGAAATCTAAAAGAATGGAGATAGCCCAAAGTCCAAGTTCCCGGAAGCTAGTGGGAGCTATCGTTTTATTTTTCTTTTAGGGGCCACAATCATCACACGTTTATTTACTGCGTATTGTAAATGCATGTTGAATGTATGTTGAACGCTAGTAATGGACATGTGCGCGGCCATGTCGATAGGTGAGATCAAAAATATAAATCCCTCACGAATATTAAGTCTGTTGCCTTCTGACGCCCGGCACCTATCCGGCTAATGTGCACTGTCATGTACTCAGCCTCAGCAGAGCATAGTACGGTGTATGTTAAGCTGGTTACGGGAACCGCCATAGCGTGGTCGCTGTCGCACGTTGGGTTAGACTTAACTGAGTCTCGGTCAAATGGATGGACGACTTAGAGGCAGTAAGTTGGGCTCATCAATGACAAGTCGGATGATTTTACTCACTCATCCAGCCAGGAGTTGGATCTTTATGATTTAATTGGAACTCTGTTCCTAACCAAAGTAGTCTGCTTGTAAGACGTGCCTTAGCCAATTACAAGTATGGTGAAAAGGTGTCCTGGTCCGGTTGTAGTAATATTGTTCGCCCAACACCAGACCAAGAGCTGAGAGCCCGGCTCATCAGTTGGAACTATGTTCCTACCTAAATAGTTGTCTTGTGGAGTAACGCCCAAGCGGAACGCAAGATAATGAAATATGGATCTTGGCCCACTAGAGGTTTCGTTGGAAATCTCCGAATCAATATCGAGGGTTATTGATTTGTTAAAAATAGTGGGAGATAATTAATTTAAGGCCTAATTAATTATTAAACATGATAGATAACCTAGTTTGCAAAATTTTCTGTAGATGGCAAACAACAACAACCCTTTCAACCTACGTTACATCCTGGAAAACAACAAGTTATCCGGGACCAATTTTCTTGACTGGGAGATGAACCTCCGGATCGTTCTTGACTGTGAGAGGAAACTCTACATCCTCGAATCGGATCCTCCCAAGACCCCTGATGCTTGTGCGTTCGAACTCACTTCCTTCAAGAAGTATGAGGACGATGTGCAAGATGTAAAGTGTATCATTATGGCCAGTATGACCGCGGAGCTCCAAAGGCTCCATGCGGACATGGAAGTGCGTCCTATGATACAATGCTTAAGAGACCTTTACCAGGGTCAGCCCCAAAACTCAGGAATTTACGTTATCGAAGTAAATATGTCTGATATCACCTCTTGGGTGATGGATACTAGATGTGGTTCTCACATCTGTACTTCTATGCAGAACTTGCATGAATGTAGACAATTGACGGAGGGAGAGATACAACTAAAAGTCGGCAATGGCGCACTCGTCTATGCATTGGCCGTCGGAACCTATAGTTTATCTCTACCTAGTGGTCTTATATTGCATTTGAATAATTGTCTGTTTGTACCTAGTATGAGCA